TTTTGTGGATTGGTTTCTGTGTCCTCTATTCTGTACCATCACTCCATTATGGTCAGATATGCTGATTTTAATTCCTTTGGGTATATATGGAGGAGTGAGATAACTGGATTAAGAGATAACTTGGTGGTTCCATTCCAAGTTTTCTGAGGAATCTCCATACTGCTTTCCAGAGTGGTTGCATCAATTTGCAGTCCTTTATCATTCTTCAAGAGTAGAAGTTTTACATTTTGGTAAAACCTAATTTTATCAATTTTCCTTTTATGTTTATTGTCATGCCACTAGATTTTTGCTGGGCCAGGTTGTGTTGGCTCTTTATTTCTTTATGCTGTTTTCGTATTCCATACATATTCTTGCTGTATTCTTATCAGGAAGGTTGGCAAGAAGTATTTACTTCACCATTATCAGAGCAGAAATCATACAAATAGATCAAATTATGTTCTGTAAAACATTTTTTTCTGAAACCAAATTTAGGATTAAGGCTGGAATAATTTCTTTACATTCACTTAGCTATACTTGTCTTACTATCCATAAAATGTTTTAATTTTACAGGTTTGTGTGAACGATGATCTGGTTGCAAAGAACTTCGCTTGCTATGTATCTCCCACTGAGAAGAAAAACCTTGATGCTTTAGAGAAACCAAGGTTGGATATAAAGTCAGCTTCTTTCTCCAGTAAACTCAATCCAGCCCTTACTCTTTGGCCAATGCTATTGCAAGGAAAAGATTTTCAAGGAATGAAAAGTGAGTGCATTCACATTTATATGTATTTCTTTTAAGTTGCTTTATTTATAGTCTTAGTGTGTTGCCATAAGTTGTAGTACAGATTTTTCCCTGTGTGTAGGCAGAGACTTGGACTCTGTGTTTAATAATTGAAATTTAATGTTGGGACAAGCCTGTGACAGATTTTGTGGTCCTAAAGCTGCTATAATTTGTTTTCATGAAACCAGGAAGAAACCATTTTCAATTTCTTAATAAGTCACATTTTTAGAAGTCCAGATATTTGTAGTTTAAAGATTAAATTTGTAGTTAAAATAACGTTTTGAATATTCATTGTTTTAGACAGTTTTAAAAAGAATTATTAATTGTAAAATGGTCCTTAGCAGTAAAATATGAGAAGAGTTAGTGGTGAACTGTGGAAGTGCTTTTAAATGTTCCTGTCTGCTGTCAGATTTTAGTACCCTCACATGTTGCTGCTTCCTTGTTAGGTATCCTATGACCATACAGCAAAAGCAAGAGCAGTTGTGGTAGAACAAGGAATCTGCACTTTACATTTTATTTCATGCCTTAATTTTGAAATTTATTCTTTTAGAGTCACATGATTTAGATTTTCTGGCACAGTCTCTCCAGCATACCTGGTGCAAGGATGTTGTCAGTGACCTACAGTCAACTGCTACAGTACTGGGTGAGTCCGCCAGTTTGGTATATTTCATAGTCAACATAAAATAATATCCTTTTTTTGGGGGGACTGAGGATTAAACAACTGAAACCCAGCTTTGGGGCCTCCCAATGTTCTACCACTGAGCTATACCCCCAGTCTTTAACTAACTGAAGATTAAAAGGGTTGTTTAGAAGGACTCTGGTCTCTTTTTTTTTTATATAATTTAATGGAAACAATTTATGATATATATGCTGACAGTGATTACTTGACCTGCAGTCCATACTTAGAAAGTTTACTGTAACATAAAGAACATCATAGACCCTTGTGAGCTGGGCTCTGTGGCTCAAACCTATAGTTTCAGCTACTTGGGAGGCTAAGGCAAGAGGATCACTTGAACCTAGGAGCTCAAAGCCAGCCTGAGAAACATAGCAAGACACTGTCTCAGAAAATAAAAAAAGAAACAGTAGGCATTTGTCCATCTGGAAGACTGATATTTTCTAACCCTGAAAAATACCAGTGATTATTATTTGTCCTCAGAGTATACCATACTTTTATGATTGACTTTTATTTTGAGCAGTAGGATGCAGAAAAATAAGGAAGTTGTACTTATGAGGGAGATATACTCAGTCTTTAATCCCATATCTCAGAAATGTTTAATGATTTGGAATTGTTCAACAGGGTGAAGTCTGTCAGCCTGTGATGCTGGTTCACCCCTGTGGTCGTTCCTTACCACTTCCCTCCTGCACTGGGTGTGTGTTTACCTGTGGATGTGACATTTCACATGCATCCATAGTATGTTAAAATGAACCAAAGCTTTAATCAGCTAAGATGTTCCCTACATTTAATATTATTTTCACATGGTATATTGTTCATCACGGAAGAATACAGATAACCAAAATTGTAAAAACTTGCCACCTCACTACCTACATATTAAAATTTTAAGAGTCTGTCTTTCCACAGTTCTCTAGATGTAAATGTATGGGTTAATTTTTATTTTACAGGAACAGGATCCTCTTGCATATACCTCTTTGTAGTGTTTTTCCCTATGGCTCAACTTCTTTCCAGGTCAAATAATCCAGCATAGCATGTTTAAGTAAATGGGATCTGCTGTGAAACCGTCAAGAGTGTGTGCCCCATCTCTCTCTGGGGTGTGGGGAGGCCTCACTCCCATCCTGCCCGGAGTTGGTCAGGTGGGCTGTGCAGGTATGGAGTGCCCTTGGCACAGTGCCTGGTGTGGCAGCTCTCACATGTATGGCCTCCTGTAGGGTCCTCAGATGAGAGTTACTGCTGAAAGCAGTCCTGTCACCATGGGAATATATCTTTCCATGGTGTTCCTTCTAATTCCCTTACAGCAGGAAAAGTTCCAAGTGTTCGCATCCTTGTGTTTTGCCGTTGCACAGTTTCACCTAGTTTTTATTGCTTTCACTAATCCCAGATTGTTGGACAGTAATTGTGGCCGCCTTTGGTAAATAAAAATGACCAACTTGGGAAAATAAATTGTGTTTTAGTCTTATAAGCTGGTGTGGGAATTTTTAGAACTTTGAAAACAATAATAAAGGCTGAAACAAAATTTTAAAATTTAATCCCCTTAAATAAAGTTTAATATAAACCCCTATTCCATAATAATTTCATGTATTAAGATTTTTGCCATTTGTTTCCTGTTAGCATTTTTCAAGGTAGCTTTGTATCGCTGTTTTTATTTTTCAGATAGAGCTGAAAAATATAATAAGGATTCTATGAGAGACTCACCTAAAAAGAAATCCGAAAAGAAGCAGCAGTGCATCTCTTTAAAAGATGTAAATAAGGTTGTATTTTAAAAATCTCATTTAATGTAAACTTCATGTAATGTTAGTAATATCCTATTAGAAACCAAAATGTGTTTTCTTTTTAAAAAAAATTGACTATGATAGTTTAATTCATGAAAAAAATACAGTTTGCATGTTTACTTATTTTGAAAAAACAAGGGAACTCCATTCACCTCCCTTCTTGTCAAACTCTTGTCCTTGATAATTAATGCCATTTCTAAAATTGGGTACTTCTTCTCATTTGAACAAGGGTATGAAAATTTGGGATTCTAACTTACCTTCCAGTCCTTTGACCGAGACAGGTGAAAGTAATTGCAGGGCATTTTAAACACTGATTATCTGAAATGCCAGCTACCTGCCATTTGGACCTTTTATTTTTAAAATTTTTTTATATTTATTTTTTAGTTGTAGTTGGACACAATACCATTATTGTATTTTTATGTGGTGCTGAGGATCAAACCCAGGGCCTCGCACATGCTAGGCAAGCACTCTACCGCTGAGCTGCAACCCCAGTTCTGAGCCTATTAATCTAGTGATTATAGTGATGGCATAATCATCAAACTTTATAGTTTTTTGTCTCTCTGTGTCTTGTGTGTGCAAGAAATTGACTGGAGTGGTGTTTAAATTTTTGTCCCCAAAGAATATATATCTTGTTAAGCATACATATTTTTTCTGAAATTTGTTTTACAGTGTGTGGAATCTTCAGCATGCTGGCCAACGAAAAGAGGCATAACCATATATGCTGATCCAGATATCCCAACAGCAAGGTATGATTTGAAAATATATATAGTCTTATGTAGTCATCCCTTAATATTCTTGGGGGATTGATTCCAAGACCCCCAAGGATACCAAAATCTGACATGCCACAATTACTATATATATTAGTATTTGCATGTAACTTATGCACATCCTCCTTTATGCTTGAAATCATCTATAAATTACTTATAATACCTAATGCAATGTAAATGCTATGTAAATAGTTGCTGTACTTATTGCTTAGGTAATAATGCCAGGGGGGAAAAAGCCTGTATATGTTCAGTACAGACTCAATTTGTTTTTTTCCCAAATATTTTCAATCTGTGGTTGGTTGAACACAGATGAAGAACCTACGGACACAGAGGCCAAATTGTACAGTGTTCTCATGACACGAAAGTATTCTTTCCAAAAAGCGTGGCCCAGAAAATTTTTTATTGAACATATTAATTTAAAGAAAAAAATCTTGCGACAATTGGTTAGTAGCACAGCGCTGAAAACTGACTCTAGAATCCCCTTGTTACCTTGTTGGACAGAGGTGGTTTTGTAAGGCAGGTTCAGAGAAGGTTGGCACAGAGTGGGTGTGATGTGAAGGAGGAGCAAATGTGGGCCAGATGGCAGCAGTGCTTGGTTGGTTACAAGTTGATAGAAAGCAGAATGGTTTGCAGTCTTCTTTGACTATAACACCATCCTCATCAAGATGCACCAGTGACATTAATGACATCACAGAAATGATGTCATATGCTTTTTATGTGCAGTATAAAAGCTTAAAATAGTATACTTCCATTTCCCCCCATGTAGACTTTATGCTATGATTTTCATGTGTTTTATTAGTGTTATAAATGCTACAATGTTATCACTTCAAACAGTTTTCTTTTAGAGAGGTTTAAATAATAAGAAAAGTAACATATATTTGCCTCTGTAGTTATGTTGGTGCTCTTCAGTTTTTGTGTTGATCCATGTTTCCATCTGATACCACTCTTTTTACTTGAAAGGGCTTTTATTAACATTTTTTTATTACAGGTCTGGTGGTGATGAACTCTTCAGGTTTTATGTCTGAAAAATTATTTGTGTGTGTGTATGTGTGTGCATCTGTGCACACTCTAGATTAATAGCAGAGCACTCTGCAACTGAACTGTATTCATAGCCCTTAGCTGCTGCTGCTGCTTTATTTTTTATTTATTTTTGGCTAGGTATAGAATGAATTCTAGGTTGACAGTATTTGACACTGTTTTTCTCTATGTATTTTTGAAGGTAGTGTTGCACTGATGCAAAATCTGCTGTCATCTTTTTTTGTTGTTGTTCCTCTGTTTGCAGTGTTTTTTCTGCTGTTAAGATTTTTCATTATTACTGGTTTGAACAATTTGATGGTTATATGCTTTGGTGTTCTTTTTCTCATGTTTCTTATGCTTGGGATTTATAATAGTTCTTTGTAATTTTCTATTTTTCATCAAATTTAGTCAATTTTGTATAACTATAACAAAGTACCACAAACTAAGTAATTTATAAAGAATAGCCATTTGTTTTTTCACAGTTCTGGAGGTTGGGAAATCCAAGATCAAGGCACTAGTACTTTTGTACTGTGGTAAGTGCCTGATCTCAGCTTCCAAGATGGCACCTTGAATGCCTGTCTTCTGGCAGGGAGAAATACTGTTCCTTGCATGGCAGAAGAGCAAAAGAGAGAGAACTCACTCCCACCAGTACTTTTTGTAGTGGCATTATGGCATTAACCCATTGAGGGCAGAGCCCTTGTGGCCTACACATCTCCCTAGAGGTGTCCCCTCCCAGTATAATTGCAATGGGCACTGAGTTTCAACATGAAATTTGGAAGAGACAAGAATATTCAAACTATAGCAGGAAATATTCACTTTTATTATAGTTTTTTTTCTGCAACAGTTTTCTCTCTTTTCCTTTTGAGTCTCTGATTTAAAAAAAAAAATTCAAAATTTTGATAATTGTTCCAAAGGCCTCTGAAGTGCTTCATTTTCAACCTTTTTTTCTTGCCACTTTTCAAATTAGCAGTTCTACTAATCTTTCTCTTCTGTCATCTCCATTCTATTGTTGAACTCATTCTGTGAATGTTTTATTTGGTATATTTTTCATTTTAAAATTTTTTTATAGTTCATTTTTCTTTGTTTTCTGTTTTTCCACTCAAGAATGCTAAACTTTTTTTATGCACCATATTATGATAGCTGTGTTAGACTCTTTGATAATTCCTACTTCTGAACCATCTTGGGGTTAGCACGTATTGATTCTTTTTTTTCCTTTACGATTGATCTGATTTTCCTGGTTCTTCATGTGTTGAATAACTTTGGTTTGTATTATGGATATTTTGAATAACATGCTATGAGACTCTGGTTCTGTTAAAACCCACTGGAGAAAGTGCATTCTTGTTGTTTGTGTTAAGCAGGCAGCAATGATTTGGTTAGGTTCATGACTCAGGCTTAGTCTCACTTGCCAAGGGTGGCTGCAGCGTCTATCAATTTCCAAGCCTTTGGTGTGCTGCTTTGGGGCTGTTCTGCAGGTGTTTAACCTAGGGTGACCTTGAGATTCCTGTTAGGTCACAGTCCACAATAGGTGATCCCCCTCTGTTTCTCTCCTGCTTACCAGATCCAGGTGCTCCTTTCCTGTCTCTGTGGCCAGACAGACAGTTCCTCTTGGAGAAACTGCTATGCAGTCTGTGCTTGGGCCACTTTGGGAGCAAAATGGCAATAGAAATAATGGAGGAAAACAGTAGATTTCCTCACATATTGTTTGGACTATAGGGTCTAGTTTCCCAGTTTTTCTGGATGTAGGGACAGGTTTTCTTTTGAGGTTGTAGGGACTGTGCTGCTAGCTCCAAGGTGGAGCTGGCCTTGGGGCAAACATAGGAGAGAAACAGGGAAAAAAGAAAAACAATCCCAGTTCTCTCTGGAAAGGGAGCCTCTCTCAGATTTTTTTTTTTCTTTTTTCCCATGCTAGGGATTGAGCCCAGGGCCTGAAGCAGGCAGTCAGGTGCTCTACTACTGAGCCATGTCCCCAGCCCTTCTCTCAAATTTTTGATGTCTGTATTTGCTATACAGTTTCATGTCTCAGGCCACCCTGAGGTCTGAGGAAGGAAACAGAGGAAGGAAAAAGCCCATGAAACTCCTCATGATTCTGTTTATACTTTCAGGTTTTTTTTCCATTGCTTTTTTCTATCCAGAATTTCTGATTATAATTAGTATGGGTCTAAGCCACAGGTATGAAAATCATAAGTTCTTACAGAAATTCACTTTGGTATATCAACTGATTCCTCACTGATAATTCTTAAATTTTTTTGTCATAAAATAAAGTCATTTCTAGGGTTGGAGTAATTGGGTTCACAAATTTCAGTAAACTTTTTGATGCCTTTTATTTCTAGTTCTTTAAGTCAGAAGCCAAATGAGAAACCACTTAGATTGGCTGAGAAGAAAGAATATGATGAGAAGAATGGCTGTGTGAAGTAAGATTTGGGGGCGTGTGTATACAAATTGTTTATTGAAATAATTGTAAGAAAATTATAAGCAGGAAGAATTTACATATTTTATTTCTAATTTCAAACTTCATTCCTGTAAAAAAATACATAACCAGTAAGTCTTCTGTAGGCTTTGAGGTTAGTTTTTTTCCCTTTCTGTTTAAACAGTTTTACATTCCAAATAACTGTAACCACTCTGGAGTATCAAATGTGACAGAGTTTATTTAAGACAGTTCAGAGGTGGGTGGATTTTGCTGTTTTTACTAGCTGCTCTGGGGTTGGAAGGAGGGCATAGATCAAGCAGCCCTGCAGCCACCCAGCTCCCCAGATGCCACTCTGATGCCCTGTCACAGCTTCTTACTCAGTCCAAGCTCCTCATAGTATCCCAGGGCCAAGGGCTTTGAAGGCTGTCATGGAACTTACAGCTGGGGATGGCTGTTAAGGCATCTGATTTGACAACCTTCTTCCCATTAATGCCTGAATGTTTTGCTGTTATAAGTGGTTCCTTCCTTTGGAACCAAAGCCTTTCATTATCCATTTATTTTAAATTACTAGCTGGTAAATTAACCTTGAAATATCTCATTCCCTTTTATTTATGTAAAAAAGTTTTATTCTTCTCTCTTATTCTGCTAAATGGCCCTTATTGGAATCCACTGATGAAAGTATACTAGTTATCCTGTCTGCTATGGTTCCAGGGAACCTTAAAGTGGCTCAAAGTTAAAGGTCAAGGAAGAAAGAAGACAGTGAGTTTCTTAGAAATCTAGAGACTGACCTGGTGATTATGTGATCCTTCCTAGGATCTGATCAAATAGTCCTGGGGTTGGCTATGCTGTGTCCAGAGCCTAGGGAACAGGCATTCAGAGTCTGGTGAACTGTGTGTCCATTATTTTTGGTCAAGTAATGAAGGCAGCCTAGAAAAGAGATCTTTTCCTTAAGGGTGATAAAGTAGGGATTTGCAGGCATCATGTAACTTAATAATAACATTAGTTAGGAAAGGGGACACAGTAATTTTAGTATGTTGCCATTCATCCTGACTTATCTTTAAAGGACCACCTTAAAGACCTTATAGAAATTCAGGAAGAGTTCACCCCAGATTTGGTTATCTTCCCTGTTCCAGGATAGTATACCTTCTTCTCCTTTTGAAACCTGGTTTCTTGGGTAACAGGGAGAGTGTCAGGGTCCACATCCAGAGTACTAGGACCCACAGAGCAGATTTTTTAGGTGTTTAAGAGAAACAACCCTGCTCCTCTGAGAGCATCTGGAGATGACTGCAAGCTTAGATTAGACCAATACATCATTTCTAAACTGTTTCCAAGTTCCACTAGTGATTGGTTCTAAGTCCATTTGGTTGGTAGTAGTTACCTGCAGCATTTTGGTGAAGAGGATTTTGACATTGTGTCAGATGTGCTGGGGACAGTATTTTATGAGTGACTAAGATATTTAGTCTAGGTATAGGAGAGTTGAGTAGTGGCCTGCTTGCCATCTGTCATCTCTGATGTTTAAATGTAAGCTTGTAGCTGTCTTTTTTTCTTTTGCATTCCTTTTTTTTAACACCTTTATTTTGTTTATTTATTTTTATGTGGTGCTGAGGATCTAACCCAGGGCCTTGCATGTGCTAGACGAGTGCTCTACCTATGAGCCACAATCCCAGCCCCATTTTTTGCATTCTTTATCTTCTGATCTTTCCATATCTGCGTACTACTATAAAATATGTTCTTTTTTCTTCAGTTCTCTTCCTATAAACATTTTAACATTTCCCTATTTTCTTCTATTGCTTATTTAAAATGGGAAGTTCTTCTAAATAAATAAATTCTTTATAATATTGTTTCTGTATCAAGAGTTTGAACACCAGTTCTTATTAAAGCCTGAATTGAAAGCCCTGTACACAGGCAGTTGAGTCCTTCCTGCCCAGAGCTCTCTGTTAAAGCCCTGTGAATGGTTTAATCATTCCCATGGTTCTTCCCTCTTAATCATCCCACACTTGGTCCCTCCCCTGACTCCACCCCCCTGCATTGTGATTCTGATAAGATGAGCATCCGTGGTCTGTGAGTAGAAAATACTGCGGAGCCTCACAGGAGCCAAGTGTGGCTCCTTCTCTGTTCTTGCAAAAATTCTTGGTTTTTCTGACATTAATAAATTATTGTTTCTTGTTTTTTTCTTTCTTTAGTTTTCTATATATCTTTATAGATTCATCTCCAGAATCCCCCTCTGTTTTCCAAACATACTCTCAGTAATTTAGCTTGCATCTTCTGGGAGAACTCTCTGAATTTCCTGCCTGTGCCCGTGCCCATGCCTGCTACATCCTGTGTCCATTGCCACCAGCATCTTGACATTACTGAATCTTTTTGAATGGAGTCTCCTTCCTTTCTTTTGGGTTTTCCATTTTCCTCTTATTTGATTGACTTCTTGTTTTGGTAAAGGATATCCTCTAATAGCTTCCTGAAGAGGGAAACAGAAAAGACTGAACTTTTTCAAGAGTGCAAAAATACTTTTAGATTATTTTCACACTTTGGTTATTAGTTTTTGAAAGCATTTCTACCTTATTTTCTAGTTTCTAGTTTATTGCTTTCTGATTTCTTATTTATATATGACATTCTTTTTCTCTCAGGAAACTTATAGGGTCTTTGTTCCTATAATTTTGTTGGTTTTTAAATTTATAATATCATATTTTTCATTTGTAAATGTTTTTCTTTTTTTCCTATTTTCATGATAAAGTGTTCTAGTACTATGTTCCTCACTTTGGGAAAATATTTTTTACTTTTTCAATGATATCTTACATTCTTGTCCTTTTTTTTTGGTACTGGGGATTGAAACCAGAGGTACTTTACCACTGAGCCATATCCTAGTCCTTTTTATTTTTTATATTGGGACAGGGCCTTACTAAGTTGCTTAGTTTAGGGCCTTGCTAAATTGCTGAGACTGGCTTTGAACTTGCTCAAAGCTCCTGAGTTGCTGGGATTGTAGGCATGTGCCACTGCACCTGGCTCTCTGTTTTCTAGAGTTTGTATAACTCTTCTTCATGTTGGACATGTGATTTTTCTTTTAATATACTAGAGATTTAACCCCAGGGTTATTTTTACCAGTGAGCTACATCCCCACTCCTTTTTTTTTTTTTTTTTTTTGAGACAGGTTTCTCTAAGTTGTTTAGGTCTTGCTGACTTGCTGAGACTGACCTCAAACATGTGATCCTCCTGTCATGGACCTCCATGTCGCTGGGATAATTGGCATGCCCCACTGTGCCCAACTGTGATGTGATTTTTTAAAATACATTTTTCATTTCTTTGTCTTTTTGTTTTACTTTTTGGGATGTTTTCACAACTTTATTCTCCACCAATTACGTTGATTTTTAAATTTATAATAAAACATTTTTAATTTGCAAGTGTTTTTCTTTTGTTCTCTTTTCCTCTTTTTTGGGGGGCGGATGGTTGGTAGAAATTAAAGTCAGGGCCTTATGTACCCTAGGCAAGTGCTCTACCACTGAGCTAGAGCTCAGCCCAATTTACCCACTTTTTTTTTTCCAACTGAGTGTATCCCCCTCAACTTTACCAACTGAACTGTATCCCCAGCCCCTCAATTTACCCTTTTAAAGTGTCCTACAAGGAGCTGGGTTTATGGCTCAGTGGTAGAGTGCTCGGCTAGCACATGTGAGGCACTGGTTTTGATCCTTGGCACCAGATAAAAATAAAGTGTTGCATCCATTTACAACCAAAAAAAAAAATTTTTTTTTAAAGAGAGAGAATTTTTTTTTTAATATTTATTTTTTAGTTCTCGGCGGACACAACATCTTTGTTGATATGTGGTGCTGAGGATCGAACCCGGGCCGCACGCATGCCAGGCGAGCACACTACCACTTGAGCCACATCCCCAGCCTAACCAAAAATATTTTTAAAATTAAATAAATAAATAAAGTGTCCTATAGATATCCTGAGTGCTGAGTGGCAGAGGCCAGCTGGGTTCTCATTATTCAGCCTTACTCCCCTCCTCCACTTTTCAGTGCAGTCCCTCCATCTTCAGCTGTTCCTCTAGTGCCCCAGTCCCAAGAGCTCTGTTTGATCCTCTCTAGGACATTAACCCTGGTCTTCCCCTAGGATGGGGTGGGTAGCTTTCTGGCATTGAGAAGTGGAAAGGGATCTGGGGTTTGCCTTCTTTATTTTATGCCCCTGCTATATTGCCACAGTAGGAGAAGGTTGTTCCTAAATTCCTAAGCTTTCTGAAGATTTATTCTGTGCGAATATATTTGGTCTTCTTATGTATGACTGGCTTAGATTCAACTGTTTTGGATCTGCCAAGTCAGTAACCACATGTCCATCTGCTTTCCAGCTTCTAAAATTTTGTTTGTAATATTGCCTCCTCTGTGGTTCTCTACTTCATTGTGGCTTTAAAAAAGAATTAAATTTTATCTTGACAAAGCTTTTTTTTTTTTTATCTATCTTAAAATTTACATTTTGTATGTGTGTGCATATGGTAATGGGGATTGAACCATGGACCTTATGCATTCTAGGCAAGCACCTTTGCACTGAGCTACTCCCCAGCCCAGTTTTGATATGTACAATTCAGTGGTTTTTAGTATATTCACAGAGTTGTGCAACCATTACCATTGTCCAATTTTAGAACACATTTATTACATGCCCCCCAAAAAACCTGTATTTGATAGTAGTCGTTCTACTTTCCCTTCTCCCTATCCCTCATCACTAATCTATTGTCTGTTACTGTAGGTTTTCCCATTCTTGATATTATATGGAAATAGAACCATATAATACTTAGTTCTTTATGACTTGCTTCTTTCACTTAGCATCATATCTTCAAAATTATTTTTTTTGGTAGCATGAGTACTCCTTTTTATTGCTGAGTAAAAACTATTGCATGGATATGGCATATTTTATTTATCCATTCATCAGTTGATAAACATTTGTATCTCGTGGCTCTTGCACTTTAAAAATATGTAAGAATGGGATTTCAGGTGGCAAGCATGATGACACGCACCTGTAATCACAGCTATTTGGAAGACTGACACTGGAGGATCAAGTGTTCAAGTCCATTGTGCAACACAGCAAGACCCCATTTTAAAAAATAAAATCAAGTTTAGGAAAGAATGTAACTTAATATGTATATTTAAATCCACTCTTTTTCTTCCAAAGTCCCTGTCACTGAAAATGGTTTATGAGTTCTCTCCTGCTGTAACTAGTCCTTACCCATATTGGGGCTGGGGGGCTGGAGCTGGGGCTAGGGCTAGGGGTAGGGCTGGGGCTTAGTCTAGAGGAAAGCAATTTCAAATTTCTTTTCCACTGAGTTAGCAGAGGTGGTAGGGCAAGTACTCTCTGGGCTTTTTTTCTCAACTATAATAAAGCTAATGAAGCAGAATGGTGAATCCTCAGATATTCTGCACAAGGACTAGGTGGTAGAGTTGTTGCAGTCCAGATGCAGGCACAAGGTTGGAAAGTGGGAAGCATAAAACAGGCATGCTACTGTGGCCTTGTATCTTAATCAAACAGAACAGAGCAGGCAGGCAGTCCGCTTACAGCCAGGCCTGGGGTAGAGACTCCATTTTACCTCTGTTAAGGAAGACTTCAAATAACAGTTGAGGAAATATAAATATTTTTTGTCTTAACAGTGTTTTTTTTTTAATGATTTTACAGATTACTGCAATTTTTAAATCCTGATCCTTTGAGAGCTGATGGAATCTCTGATCTGCAGCAGGTATTACAGGCCCTAAAAACAATTAAATAGGAGAGAAAACAGTTTGCTCTTAAAAATTCTTCTTCTTCCTCTTTCCAGTCTTAAAATTAGAAGAGAAACTCCTCGGGTGGGGGACTTTGCCTGAAGACATGCTTTTATAGATTGGTAAATTAGTGCTTCAGAGAAATTTCTATTTTTATTTGGGTAATAGGTGATCTTCTTTCATTTAGGTAGTTTTGGTGTTTTTCAGGTTGTTAACATTGAAATCATATGCTTTCTTTTCTTTCTATGCTGGTACTAAGAGTTCAGGGCAGATACTGGTTGTCTAATGTCTGTATCACTCAGTTGCAGAAGTTGAAGTCAGGCATGCAGCAGCCTGTCATGGTGCTCCGGAACAGGATTGATCCCTGCCTGACCATCGACACGTCACCACTGTCTGCAGACCTGAAAAAGGTGAAAGTGCTCTTAGAACCAAATTCATGAAGAAATACCAACCTTTTCTAATGTAGAAGGATTTTTTTTTTCTTTTTTTCTTTTTATTTTTTCCCAGTGCTAGGGATGGAATCCAGGGCCTGGAGCAGGCTAGGCAAAGCACTCTACCACTGAACAACACCCCTAGTCCCATAGAAGGATTTCTAAATAAAAGTTATAAGGTTACATTGTATAATTTCTTTGCTTTTGAAATTCTCTTTTATAAAGTTTTTGTTAATAATTTATTCTCAAGTCCTGGATATGTTCTTGTAAATGAATAATTAATTTAAGGAAAACCCATTATATACTGTAAACCCCCTTCTGAAATAAGTTTTTAAATGGGCCTTTGAAAAAAGGGGCTTTGAAGACATAACAGGGCAATTGTAATATACTTCTTAGCCATTCTTTCCAAAATGGCTTCATAGATGGGTGGTTTCACTTGGTAAATCAATCATTTATGCTTACCTGTTTTTTTTCTAATTTTTTAAAAAAAGAGGTTAAAACTGTTTTTTAAAAGATAGGAATAAAGTCAAAAGGATAAAAGAGTGACAGAGAAGTCTTGAATGAGCAGGAGATTTTCATAGAATTTTAGAGGATGAAAGCTAGGTAGCAGAGTATGGTTGACTTAACAGGGAAAGAGCTAGGAGGTGGAGAGGAGTGGACAGTGAACTACTCACCCTGTTTCCTGACAATGCACAACTAGTTTATATTATTCTAAGGAAGAAAATTGGAGACTCTTTCTGGAGAAATTGAGTGACCACGGAGTAGTGGTGCTTAATGATGGTGTTTGGAATTCTCCCAGTTAGAATGCCTGCTTGTTGCCCAGTCTTCTTGTAGTGATATCTCACTCTCATGGTGACTAGATTCGCCCCACCCACAGAGCCTTTAGTCAGGTTTTAGTGACTTAAGAAACACAAAACTAGTTTTTTTTCATATATATATATGAAACTATATAATGAGAATCATAGACCTTTTTCTCTCTCTCACATCTATATAATGAGAATCATAGACCTTTTTTCTCTCTCTCTCTCACACACACATATTAAACACAGACATCTGAAGAAAGTCTTTACCTTAAGAAAAAAAGTTTAAAACAAACTCTGAAGGAAATAATGACTGGAGAAGAAAATATTAGAAAATAAATATTGCCAAGTGCAGCAGTACATGCCTGTGGTCATAGCTGCTCAGGAGGCTGAGGCAGGAGGATTGCTTCAGCCTTGGAGTTTGAGACCAGTCTGGGCAATATAGTGCGACTCATCTCTTAAGAAAAAGAAAGGAATGGGGGAGAGAAAGAGAAAGGGAGAGGGAAAAGAAAAAAAAGGAAGGAAGAAATAAAAGAAAAAGATCCTCAGAGGAAAGAAGGTATGGCATCTTTTGCTGGAAAGAGGAGGGAGGAGAGGGGAGAGAAAGATCAATAAAAAAGTTCTCAGAAGTTCAAAATATTATAAAAAAATTTTGAAAATAAGTGGTTTTGAGATGTAAAATAGAAGCCAGCAGAAAGTAGAACAAAAAGGCAACAAGATGAATCAAGGAGGAAAAAAAAAGAATTTGAGGTGCAGTATCTGAAAATGGAATTTCAGACTGAATCATATAAGACAGACTACACAGGTTGCACTGCCTACCTGGAAGCTCCATGTTGACATCAGAGACTATTCCTTTTGGAGTTCAGGGATCTGGGGAGGAGGATGTCACAGACACCATGGTGCTGACAAGCTCAGCTTTTTGGAAAGAGTTACAGGAGGGGCAGTAAAATCTCTGAGGAAGAAAACAGGAACATTTCCTGAACCTAATGGAAATAAATCTCCACATTGAGCTATCTCACACTGGCCAGCACAACTTATGAACAGACATTAGCTGTATGGGTTTGAAGCATCTGAACTTGGATTCAGAGAGCACAAAATCTTCTAGAGGAAAAAATGGTCCCCATCTCAAGATAAGAATTCAGGTACCTCAGATTTCTTCATAGCAACACCAAAGGAGTTACTTCATGTAGACAATAATTGTCTTTTTGGAATAAAATCATTTTTGAAGCACATATGGAATATTGCCAAGCTTAAGCCTAGATTCATTGAGAAGATTTCAGTGTTTTTATGGCAATTTTTCACGTGAGTAAGAAACTAAAAACATTGATGTTGATTAGAGGTGAAAAAAAAAAGTTATTTCCACCTATACATCCATACTCACATAGTAATGAGGTGTGAGAGTAGAACAGAAATATTTTCAGACATGCAGTCTCAAAAATAACAAAGAAGTATTTCCCCTGTACTCTTTGCCAAGAAGCTGTTTCAAAATGTTCATACAACAAAGAAGTTCACCAAGAAAGACCACATAGGTTGCACCTGTCTACCTGGAAGCTCTCAGGTTGGCAGAAGAGTAAGCAGTACTTTTGCATCTGGGACTCAGGGTTCTGGGGAGGGGGATCACAGAGCCCATGGTGCTCTTGAACTCAGTCTTTTAGAAAATTATATCAGTGTGGCTAGAGAACTCTGTTGGAGAATTTGGTTTAGTGAGAGATACATAGATAAACAAATGAATAAAAGCATGTTTTTAAAATGCTGTACAAGGGAGGCTGGTGGACTGGCAGATTATTGGGAGAATAAGATCAAAAAACCACATCCTTGATCCAGTGAGCTCTAGTGGATCACCATCCAGTTCCTTTTGATTGGAGCCCAGGAAAACAAAATTTTATATAATAGGAGTATAGTACTGAGTAAAAGAGTCAGAAGGACTTACCAGGGTAAGTCTCAGAAAATATCAGATTAATCAATGTGTATATACTGAGTGGTATATGGAGTAGAATGGCAATGATATGGAGCTATTGTTTGTTTTCTCTACTTTATTGTGGTTTTTGGTTGTTGATTTTTTTGTAGGCTCTTCAAAGAAATAAGTTCCCGGGACCCAGTCACACTGAATCTTACTCTTGGCCTCCCATAGCACGTGGCTGTGATGTGGTTGTCATTTCTCACTGTGGAAATGACCCTTTGTTGTACCTCCCACCGTTGCTTACGATTTTGCAAACGGGGGGCTGCTACAAGTCATTACCAAGTAGAAACGGAGTAAGTTTAAGACAATTTTGTTTCACAACAAAAATGAATTAAATTTTTATTTTTTTTAATTATACACTTGACCTTTGGTAAAGTTCCGGTTACATTACTCAGTTTGGTTTTCCAACTGCCAAGATAGAAGAAAGTGAGAAAGTAGCCTTTCTCGTCTCCTGGTCACCTGTTCTCCTGTACTGATTCTCATCCAAGCCTGGGTTGTGGGTCATGGGCTGAGCAGGAAAGCTCTGGCTTTTAGAGGTGAACATAGAATTTATAAAATGATCTCATATTAATTCATGTCATTGTCATGGCAACCATGTGATATGGTCAGGGTGTATATCATTCTTACCACTGTATACATGAGAAGACCCAGGTCATGATAAGTTGCTTGGGTGAATTCTTGACAGCTGATATGGTGTGAAAGTGGGCTTAGAAGTTAAGTTTCTGTTGTCTCATTCTACATTCTTCAATATCTCATAGTACCCCACACTGTTTTAGAATAATTTCCCCATGTGTAAGAACCTGAAAGTAACAGAAAGATGGAGATAAGAGAAATGGGTATGGGTTCAAATGGCAATGAATAATGATGTCCACTTTTCTGAGTTTGGGCTCTTGGAACTGATGGGTGTAAAACCTCCATCCTAACACAAAGGGTGCACTCCAGAGGGTTCCACCATGTGTCAAACGGTGAAACAGCAGTACAAAATGAGCTTAGAGTTGCAGTTAGAACAGATACTAGCTCTCTTTCTAATTATGCCATGCAGTTTGATGATTTCCCTTTGGAATTCAAGCTGGTTATTAGATATTGATTTAATCAAATGAATGCATTTATCCCCCTCATCCCTTACCAGTTTGTGAACAGCTAAGCCCTGTTAATGATATACAGCTAGTGTTGAGGCAGAACCATGGCTGGGGTTAGAAAAGGCCATCTTAAGTCTTGACCCTTGTGTCTCCCCTACTTTCTCCATGCCCTATGGTCAACCTGCCTTCAGGTCTGTGCCTGGAAACTATCATCTGAATCTGTCTAAAGGAAAGAGGAAACTAGGCTTCTCTTCGATTAATAGATAGCAAGTGTCCAGGAAGGTATTTGGTAGGCAGTGCACCTTCAAGAGAATCTGTGGGCTAGTGGAGGGTAGGGTTCAGAAGGTAATTTCCTAAGAAAGAGCTGTTATCCACTTTTTAAGGCCCTCTCAGGAAGTGGTTAGTTCATCCTTGGGCTTAGGAGCAGGAAATCTGGAGCCAGACTTCCTAGGTTCAAATCATGTTGCTACCAAGAATGAACTGTGTAGCCTTAGGCAACTGGCTTTACTTCTCTGTGCCTCAGATGCCTCATCTGTGAGATGAAGTAATAGTAGGCCCTACCCATAAGAATGTATTAAATGAATTAATCCTTATGCAATACTTAGTTTAAGCCCTAAGAAAATCTAGCTCAATGTGTCTAAAATCTGTTTTTTTAAAATATTTTTTAGATGTCAATGGATCTTTATTTATTTATATGCAGTGCTGAGAATTGAACCCAGTGCCTCACACATGCTAGGCAAGTGCTCTACCGCTGAGCCATCACCCCAGTCCCCTAAATCTATTTTAATGAAATTATTTTTAACTCTTCTAATCTATGTGATGATGGTGGTAGCAAAACCTGAAGTAGCACGTATTGTGTACAAGGAGATGTTCTGGATGTTTCACATATACTATGTTCAATTTCTAACTACTGTTCAAAACTATTTGAATTTGTTTGTCTTTGCAGCCTCTTGCAGTCATCGTGTGCCCAGGGTGGAAAAAGGCCCAATTTATTTTTGAATTACTGGGCGACTATAGCATGTCCTCCAGGCCTCTTCATCCTGTGTTATTAACAATTGGACTTCACAAAGATGAAGCCAAAAACATGAAGCTTCCAAGGGGGTGTAAGCATTCTTTCCAAGCAGTTTGGCTTTCCCCGTAGAAGACAGGGGACCCTGCCCAGGCAGGTCTGGGATTGCAGATGACAGGCTTGTGTGATAGCCTAGCTTGTCACTCATTGATGGGTATCCATGATGTAGGTTCAATCTTGACCTACATCTGTTTTGCTGAGAAAACTACAGGATTTCATTCATCCACTTTCTACTGACCACTTACTGCTTGCTAGATGCTGAACTCAGTGTTGACTAAAAGCCTCCTGCTTTTCAGGAGTGCATAACCTGGTAGGAGTGCCAAGGCTTGTCCCATACTGACAGGGCTCAGCCAGGGTGGGCACCTGAGGAGAGAAGCAGCAGTATGTGGAATCTTAGCAAAGGAAATGTTGTGAAAACCTGTAAAACAAATCTAAAATGGGCATTGTTTTTTCTTTTAAAATGTAGGCGATGTTATTGTCACAACACCACATAGCCTCCTGAGACTTCTCACATACCAAAGCTTGTTATTTCTTAGACTTTGTCATCTAGTGTTGGATGAGGTGGAAGTGTTATTCCTTGAAGCTAATGAGCAGGTAAGTATGGCATCTATTTAGATGTTATTACTATTCTAAATGTATACATATACTTCTAAAATAGATAAAATTCAAGTATTAACAGAATCAGGAAAAAGAATCTAGTTAAGGAATAAATTGGTTAATCTAAAAAGAATTTTTTCCTTTAACTTCTGTAATTTAGAAGAGAGAATGTTTATTTGGAATTTCATTCCCAGGGTTAAATCTCTCTTTGAAAAGCAACATTTCTCTCCCAGGAAGATTTACTGAGATAATGAATGTTTTTCTGATTATAAAAGCAATAATTTTTATTGTAAAAAATTTTGAGAAATAGAGAAGAGCACTTGAAAAAAATACAATACCCTAATCATCTTACACTCAAAGGCAATCATTCTACTATTTTGGATTATTTCTTCCTTTTTAAAATTCCTAATTGTTGATACATGTATTCAATATCAAGAGCACATTTTATGTATAATTTTAAAATTCACATTTTGCAGTTAACAGCATTGTATTATTACTTCCTGTTCTGAAGGTTATTATTATTATTGGGCATATTGAATCACATGGGCATAACAATTTATGCCATGTTTGCTGTCCTCCGACCAGTAGGAGGCCTTGGCCTGGTTTTTTGTTCCGTGCTAGCTGGTAAACAGATCTTGTTAGTACAGTGTGCATCTTTTTTTTTTTTTTTTTTGCAGTGCTAGGCATGGAACCAGGGCTTCATGCATGCTGGGCCAGTGTTCTACCACTGGTTTGCATGTCTAGCCTTGTAGTTTGTATTTCCTTGATTACTTAAGTTGAACATTAATTCATTTTGATCATTATGTTCATTTTCTAAAGTTGCTAGATCATTTCATTTTCTTTCTTGTGGTGCAGTCATCTTTTGTAATTACTTTTTGACCTTTTTAAATGTGAGCTTGTTAATCCCATTAGATGTGTTAACACATATTTACCAAGATGTTTTTTGTGCTTTAATTTGATTTATAGTGGGGTTTATGCTCATTGATATTCTCTTTCTCTCCCCTCGATGCCCCCCCCCACCTGCCTTTTTCCTCTTTTTTCCCTTTGTGTTTCCAGGGATTGAACCTAGGGGCATTCTACCACTGAGCTATGTCCTCAGTCCTTTTTGTTTTTTTATTTGAGATAGTCTCACTGAGTTGCCCACGCTGTGATTACAGATATGCACCACTGAATTTGGCTACATTTTCTCTCAGAGGAGCATGCCTATAATCCTCGTCACTTGGGAGGCTGAGGCAGGAGGATTGCAAGTTTGAGGCTAGCCTCAGCAACTTAGTGAGGCCCTAAGCAACTTAATGAGATCCTGTCTCAAAATAAAAATAGTAAGGGCTGGATATGTAGCTCAGTTGTAAAGCACTCCTGGGTTTAGTCCCCAGTGCCGAAACAAAAAAACATTTTCTCCTTTGTGAGTTTCTCTCTTTACTTTTGTTTTGGAAAGTCTTCCTCCTGTCTGAAAACAGTAAATATGCAATTTTTTACATATTATGTTCTGTCAAACTAATTATTACTGTCTTTTGAAATAAAAATTAATTATATCAATTTTTTAGATGTTTGCTATATTAGATAATTTTAAAAAAAATGTTGAAGTTGAAGAAAGGGAATCTGCACCACATCAGATCATTGCGGTTGGCATTCATTGGAGCAGACATATAGAACATCTAATCAGAGAGTTCATGAATGATCCCTACATTGTGATTACAGCCCCAGAGGAGGCTGCTCTCTATGGCAACGTCCAACAGGTGATGAATGAATGGGAGGGGAGCTGATGAGCACAAGCAAGTAGCCTGTATTTCATGGCTTAATATTAGATGACTGTAGCTTCTATTTCATACCCAAATCTATAATTGTAAATTAAATTTGTTTTGATTTCCTATGCATTCTTTTCTATTAAAATTATAACTTAGCTATGAAAAGTGAAACTGGAACTTTTTGAATATTTTAAAAATCAAATTACTTCATTTCTGAATTTCATTACCAGGTCGTGCATCTTTGCCTAGAATGTGAAAAAACCTCAACTTTACTCCAAGTTCTTGATTTCACTCCAAGTCTGGCACAAAAGACCTTGATCTTTACTTGTTCTGTAGCTGAAACAGAAATAGTGTGTAAGGTGAGTCCCTGTCCTGTTGATTTAAACTGTGGCTGAATCTTGAATGAGGAAAAAATTACTTGGGTAGTTGATATGTGGTGGGGAGATGCCATTTTGCAAGTTTAACATCAATCAGAAGAGGAGGTGGGCTCTGCTGGGAAGCACTGACAGCTGGAGGCCTGGCCTGGGGGGGGATCCTTGCCTTTCCTGAAGCACGGTCCCACAGGGGGAGTAAGTCTCAGGGAACAGTGCCAGGTGGTCTGTCAAGGTAGAACATGAAAGGGTCCAGTTGATGAACAAAATGCCCACATCACTACTCTCTATTTTAAAAAGTTGTGAAGATAACAGTAAAACATACTGTCATGTAACCAGAAAAGCCAAATAAATTGGCTAAAGACTTATTCAGTTTTATCTAATTTCATATTAATTGTAAAATGCTAATTAATTGCCAAAATGTACAAAGCTAAATACAAAAATTAAAAGAAGCTGTAGTACATCTTTCGGTACATAATAATGAGCTAAATAATATAGTTAAAAGGCCATTATTGGACTGGGGATATAGCTCAATGGTAGAGTGCTTGCCAAGCATGTGTGAGGCCCTAATCCCCAGTACTGGAAGGGGAAAAAAAAAAAAAACACGTTGACAACAGTACCATGTATTTTATATATACTTATACATACATATGTGTATATGTATTATTTTTAAAAGGAAGGGAAATAGTTTTAGCAAAATGATGTTTGTTTCACTTGAGCAAATTTTTATATGAACTACAACAGAACTTTGGAGATATATTTACTTAATTTCATAGTCATTTCAAAGAATTACTGGGTCAGTGAGGTGATTTACAGTTGAATACTTTGATACTTAACTTGATGAGACAGCTGGCTTCAAGCTCATGTTCCTGATTTTGAACTGGCCTCTGTGGTTTTACCTTTAGGTAGTAGAAAGCAATTCAATATTTTGCTTGAAAATGCATAAAGAAATGGTTTTTAACTTAAAAAGTGTTTTAGAACATTGGAAGAAGAAATTAAGTTCTGGCTCCCATATTGTATTAGGTAAGTGTTTTAATTTCTACTTCAGAAGACAAAGGTTAGCTCATAGGAATCATGTCTTAATTTATATATTTCACCTCCATATTTCTCATTATTTCCAAGATTTACTCAGAATTTATTAGTAATGTTAATTTCAAAATGAAAATTAACCTCCAAAAAGATTCTCATATTGAGATGAATCTAGGTGCCTCAGAGCTCATAGGTCAATAGGCAGCAACCGTTGATCTAGACACTTTACCTGGAATTCTAGCTTGAGGATTACTGTTGAATATATAAAATCTGTGTATATGTATATGTAGTCTATAAAGTCTGTATCTAGCTGTACATAATGCATCTGTACCTATATTGAAACATCATAAATTATAAAAAGGTTAAATATTAGAAATACAAAAGTTAGAATGTATAAAAAAACGAAAAGATCTGGGCAGCCTGGATTTGTAATAGAAAAAGACATTTTTCAAGCTAAAAATGAAGCCACTTGTCTCTGGAATTAATCACTGGTGTGGGGCATTTGGGGAAGAAAGTGGGTAAGAAGTTTCTTTGCCTCCTAAAAATAAAATGAAGGATTGAGGATATAGCTTCATGGTAGAGTACTGGCATAGTAAGTATGAGATTGTGGTTTGATCCCTAGCATTGCAAGACATAAAGTAAAATATAGTACAGAAATGCTTTGCAGGATGGTTTTGGGGACTGCTTATTAAAGTAAGTGCGGCTCATGGGAAATTGTTGAAATCTTTCCTCCAGCCTTAACTGACGATTGCATACCACTCTTGGCCATCACTGATGCCACGTGTGTAATTCACTTCAGCTTCCCTTCCTCACCAAAGATATTTGGTGGACGCCTATATTGCATGTCAGATCATTTTCAGAGTTTAACTGAACAGGTTTGACTATCATTTTCTGTGTAATGACAAATTTAGAGTCCATAAAGTTTCACTGAGACTGGTATGAATGATTTGCTTTCTTTATTTACTCCCATTTTAAGGGTTCTCCTGCAGAGCAGGGAGATAAAAAAACCAAATCTGTCCTACTGCTAACGGAGAGAAATGCGAGCCATGCAGTTGGTGTTCTGCGCTACTTGGAGAGAGCAGATGCCAAAATCCCATCAGAGCTGTATGAGTTCACCGCAGGGGTCCTAGAAGCCAAAGAAGACAAAAAAGCCAGAAGACCTCTTTGTTCATATCTTAAGGCTTTTGGATTTTGCAAGTAAGCCAGTCTTCTTTATTTTAATTAAAGTATAACATGCAGTCAAGTACAGAGATGATAAGTTTACAGCTTGAAACACAACACTGATAAAACCGATAACCCAGTAAATAAATGGGCAAATGAACTAAAGAAGCATTACTCAAAAAAAAAAAAAAAAAAGCTAACAAACATGAAAAAAATGTTAAAAATTGCTAGCAGTGAGGGAAATGCAAATCAAAACTACATTGGGATTTTATCTCACTCAAGAATATAAATAATAAATGCTGGTGAAGATGTAAGGGAAAAAGGAACACTTTTACCTGGAATTGTAAATTATATGAATTTACACTATATGAATCAGTGTGAAGGTTCTTCAGAAGATTAGGAATGGAACTACCATATGACCCAGCTATAACACTCCTTGGTATTTTCCTAAAAGAATTAAATTCAGTGTATTGTGGAGATACATGCATACCCATGTTTATAGTAGCACAATTCACAATAACCAAACTATGGAACCAGCCTAAGTGTCTTCGAATAGATGAATGGAAACAGAAAATATAGTATATCTATACAATGGAGTTTTACTCAGCCATAAAGAAGAATAAAATCCTGTTATTTGTAGGAAAATGGATGGAATGGGACATTGTCAAGTTAAACAAAATAAGGCAAACTCAGAAAGTCAGCATTATATCTTCTCATTTGTTAGAGTGGAAAAAAGAAGGGGGATTTCATGAAAATAGAAGGGAAACCAGTAAGAAAGAGAGGGGACCCTGGGGAGGGAGGAGGAGAAGGCATTAGGGAGGTACTGGAGAATGAAATTATGTGCATATCCTAGTATGTCCAAGTGTAACTTATGCACCAATAATAATTTTTTTAAACTAAAAAAAAATAGAGCAAGAAAATTAATTTCACAAAAGAGCGCTTTACCTTGGTATCAAAATTGTAGTTGTACTTACCTGATGTAGCCCAGGGATCACCAGGACCTTGTTTATTAGAAAAACTTTAGAAAAGTATATAACAAAAATGGGTGAGTTCAGTTCTTAGAACTGAACTTCACTAGTTTTTTTTAATATAAAACAATATTTTTGACTGATAAAATTTGACTTCTGTTTTTTTTAAAAAAAGTTTACAGCTTGATGAAATGTCAATATCTACACACCCATGTAAACCACCACCCAACTGAGAGAGCACCTAGAGACTCCTGCATGCTCTTCCTGATGTCCCTCCTCAAATAGCTGTCAACATTGACAAGAGTTATTCATTTGTTTTCAATTCTTTATTAACATGTATTAATTGACTATTTTAATAGGGTTCGATTTGGTATTTCCTTACATTCATATATGAGGTCTCATCAAATCCAATTCCTTTTTCTTATCCTACCTCCTTCTTCATACCCATCCCAATCTCTAGTAACTGTTATTCTGTTTTCAAATTAACATTTTTCAGCTCTTTGCTTTTGTGTCTGAATTATTTCACTTAACATGATGTCCTCACTTCATTTCATTTTGCTGCAAATGATAGGATTTTATTCCTCTTTATGGATGAATAGTATTCCATTGTGTATATACTACATTTTCTTTTCCCATTTATCTGTTGTTGGGCACCCATGCTGATTTCATATCTTAAAATTTTGCTCATTTTTGAACTTCATATAAATGGAATTGTGCATCTGGCTTCTTTAAATCAATCTAATATCTGTGACATTGATCCATGTTGTTGTTATATGTATCTTTATTTTATATATATTCTGGCTTAGTATTGCATTGTCTTGAGTATATCACATTCTTCTGTTGATGGGCCTGTGAGGTTGTTTCCAGTTTGGGGCTATGATGTTTAAAGCTTTCCTGAATGTTGTCATGCATGGCTTTTTGTGGAAATATTCATCTACTTCTTTTGGGAATTGTTGGGCCATAGGGTTAACTTATGTTTACTCTTCCAAAGTGGTGGACCACTTTATGATCCTGTCAGGAGTGATGAGAATTGGAGATGGTCCACATCCTTCCCAGTCCTTAGTATTCATGGGGGAGATAATGGAAAGCCATTGCAATTTTAATTTGTGTTTCCATAATGATGGTGGATTTAATGATGTTAAATATCTTTTTTTTATGTTTGTGAGACATTTGACCATTCTCTTTTTCTGAAGTACCTGCTCTTATCTTTTCCCCATTTTAATGGAGCATTTCTTTTTTCTTATTAGTTTGAGGAGGTATAGCTAAGATATACAGGATATATAAGTATATATATATAATACTTATATATAGATATAAGTATATACATATATATAGATGTAAGTATTTTGTCTGACACGGTTGAACATCCGTGACTCTAAAACATGAAATCTGAAATACTCTGAAAACAGAAACTTTTGGGGTGTTGACATGATGCCTCTAAAACATTAATTTGCAGGCTGAGGTTATGGCTTAGTGGTAGAACGCTTGCCTAGCATGCGTGAGGCCCTGGGTTCGATCCTCAACCCCACATAAAAATAAATAAATAAACAAAATAAAGGTATTGTGTCTAACCAAAAAATTTTTTTAAAAACCATTAATTTGCATATATAGTATGAGGTGTGGGGCACAAGTGGCTTTTTCTGCATAGACAGTCATCTGTTCCAGCATCATTTGTCTAGAACATAATTCTCTTCTCACTGAATTAGTCCCTTTGATGTAATCCAGGTGATGAGATATATGGTCTGTTTTTAGACTCTGTTATTTTTGTGGGTTCATTTGTCCCTCCTTATACTAACACTACACTTTATTTTTTAATATCATTTTTATTGTTGTTGTTTATTTTTTATGTGGTGATGGGGATTGAACTCAGGGCCTCATGAATGCTAGGCAGGCACTTTACCACTGAGCTATTTCCTCAGCCCAACACTACACTTTAAACACTGTAGCTTTATAGTGACACTTGGGATCTGGCATATAAGTCCTCCAACCTTGCTGCTGTTCAGGGTTGCTTGGCTTCTTCAAATCTATTTCATCTCTATATACATAAAAGATATAAGCTTACTGATTTCTCAAAAAATCTTGTGGAATTTTAATAGGGGCTGAATCAACTCTGTAGATCAATTGGTAAGGTATGGGGATCCCTCTAGACACATGCCACTACTTGGTAAATGGATGGCTAGGCATAGGTGTCTGATAATGTGTCTCCTGGATTGAATTAATTTTTAAGATAATTAATGACATTAACTTTTTAAATTATGGTACATTAACCAGCTTATTAACAACAATTTTCAGTATGCCTTTAAATAGAATATTGACTTTTAAAACTGAAACTTCAGCTATTTCTCAGTTGGGAGATTACATTGTAGTGAAGGAGCAGCTTCTGATTTGGAGGTTAATTGACCTTTATTGTGGATTATGGTGATATGTTTCTGAGACTTTGTTTTAGAAGTATAAGCAATCCTTTAGCAGGAAGAGTGAAGCAAGTGGCATCACTATACCAGACCTTAAACTATACTCTAGAGCAATAGTAACAAAAACAGCATGGTATTGGCACCAAAACAGACTGGTACACCAATGGTACAGAATAGAGGACACAGAGCCTAACCCACAAAATTACAATTATCTTATATTAGACAAAGGTGCCAAAAACATGTACTGGAGAAAAGATAGCATCTTCAACAAATGGTGCTTGGAAAACTGGAAATTCATATGCAACAAAATGAAATTAAACTCCTATATCTCACCACCCACAAAACTCAACTCAAAGTGGATCAAGGACCTAGGAATTAAACCAGAGACCCCGCATCTAATAGAAGAAAAAGTGGGCCCTTATCTCCACCATGTGGGATTGGGCCCCAACTTCCTTAATAACACTCCTATAGCACAAGAATTAAAACCAAGAATCAATAAATGGGATGGAGTCAAACTAAAAAGTCTCTTCCAAAAAAAAAAAACAATCTGTGAGGTGAACAGAGAGCCTATATCTTGGGAGCAAATTTTTACCCCTCACACATCAGAGCACTAATCTCTAGGGTATACACAGAACTTGTTTATATAATTCATTTAAGAATATCTAAAGGGGACTGGGGTTGTGGCTCAGAGGTGGAGCACTCGCCTCACATGTGCGAGGCCTTGGGTTCGATCCTCAGCACCACATAAAAATAAATAAATAAATAAAGGTCTTTATTTAAAAAAAAAATATATATATATCTAAAGAAATAGGGCTGGGGTTGTGGCTCAGAGGAAAGAGTGCTCCCCTAGCATGCATGAGGCACTGGGCTCAATCTTCAACACCACATAGAAATAAAATAAAGGTATTATGTCCACCTACAACTGAAAAATAAATGTTAAAAAAGAATAAAGGTGTATTAAAAATTATTAAAAAAAATAAAGTAACTCTTTTGATTAAGTTTATTCAATTTTAATTAAATTTTAGAGGGTTTTTTGCTTATTTATATATTGTTAGTGTCATTTGAAGTATTTAATATGGTTACTTCTAAAGTGTTTGGAATAAAAGTTCTCTAATTTCAACTACAGATTAATTTTCTGAAAAATGTTTACAATTCCATGTTAACAATGATTATCTGTATTTTTCAGGTTTTAAAATCTAGCTATTTTGTGGCTGGGGATGTGGCTCAAGCGGTAGCGCGCTCACCTGGCACCACATACGAAGATGTTGTGTCTGCCGAAAACTAAAAAATAAATATTAAAAAATTCTCTCTCTCTTTCTCTCTCCCTCTCTCTCTCTTTAAAAAAAAAAAAATCTAGCTATTTTGAGGGGTTTGGGGTTTGGCTCAGTGGTAGAGCAGTGGTAGAGCACTTGCCTAGAATGAGCAAGGCCCTGGTTTCCATCCCCAGCACTGTCACTACCACAACAAAAAACAAAGCCAGCTATTCATTGTTTTATTTTATTTTTTCCCAGAGACAAAAGGATCTGTCCTGACAGACACCATATTAATCCAGAAATAGATATGCCAAGGAAATTATCCAACCAAGCTCTACCAATGTTTGGATATATTAAAGTAAGTTCTTCTAAGATCTTTTTTGTCCAGTGATTGTTGAATCGTAATTTTTTTTAAGCAGAATCTTAGTACAATGTAATTTATGATTTATAATATTCAATATTAATATCCTGCCATTAATCTAATGATAGAAATTTGTTCTTATATCTTAATTTCAGAGTCCAAGTTTATATGTAAAACCATGATGAGTTGAGTAAATGCATGACAATTTGGGAGTTGTTTTTTTCAGGAAAAAAAATGTTTTCACTTGGAGGCAGTTAAAAGTAATACAGTAAAAAGTGGCACACACCTGGGCTGGGTTGTAGTTCAGTAGTAGAGCGCTTGCCTTGCACATGTAAGGCACTGGGTACAATCCTCAGCACCACATATAAATAAATAAAATAAAGATCCATTGACAACTAAAAAACATTAAAAAAAAAAAAAAAAGAAAGTGGCACATACCTGTAATCCTAGCAAGTTGGAAGGCTGAGGCAGGAGATTGCATGTTTGAGGCTGAGACCACCCTCAGCAGCTTAAGCCCTAAGCAATTTAGTGAGACCCTGTCTGAAAATAAAAAATAAAAAGGCCTGAGGCCTCAGTGGTTAAGTGCCCCTGGGTTCAGTCCCTGGAATGACTACTACTAGTGTAATAATAGTAATAACAATACAGTGACTACATGAATTCTGTTCAAATAACAATGATAATTTCTGTGAGGAAAATTCTTGAGATTCAAATCGAATTGCTGAGTTAAAAATCATTTTCCTTGAAATCCCTCATTATCAATTTCTTCATTACTTTTTTTTCTCCTTTTCACTTCTTTCCCCTTAAGGCTTTCTCTTTAGTGTTGGTTTCCTAGTGCTGCTGTCACAGATTGCCACAATTGGTGACTTAAAACAACATAGATGTATTTCAGTTTTGGAGGCCAGAAGTCTAAATGCAGGTGTCATCAGGGCTGTGCTCCCCGCCACTCTTCGGCCTCCTGAGGACAAACCAGTTCTGGCCTCCTCCAGCCTCTCCTGGCTTCAGACATGGCTTGCAGCCACATCCCCCCCCCCCAATCTCTGCCTCCTGTACATTGCCTTCTCTTCTCTTGGTGTCCCCACAAGATACTTGTCACTGGAAGGAAGACCCACCTTTTAATCCAGAAAGGTCTCTTTATCTTGAGATACTTGATTTCATCTACAAAGACCCTTTTCAAATAAGGTCACAGTCACATTGACCTTGGGAATTAGGACATGCACATATCTTTTGAGGGTGGTCACTGTTTGATCCACTACAGTTTTCATCATTGATATAATTTTTTTCTTTCTAATTTTTCCCTGAGTTTTATCCCCTCATTTCTATGTTTTTCTAATTCTGATTTACATTTTTCTTTTTTGTGTTGGGAATTGACCGGGAGACCTTGGACATGCTGAATACATGTTCTACCACTGATTTACATGCCCAACCCTAGTAAGACAGATGAGGCTGACACCCAAGAAATTATCAGGAAGCAGGAGGAGCCAAATCTAAGGCCAGCCTCGGTGATTAATGAGACCTTTTCTCAGTGGTAGAGCACACCTCTGGGTCTAGTTCCTAGTACAAAAATTTTAACAAACATATATTTGCCAAATATATGTTTTGCAAAGAATTTCTCCTACTCGGTTTGTCTTTTCATTCTCTTTATAGTGTCTTTTGCAGAGCAGTTTTTGATTTTAATGAAGACAGCTTACATTTTTTCTTTCATGGATTATGCTTTAGGTATTATATCTTTAAAAAAATCATTGCCAAAACCAAATCATCTAGATTTTTCTCCTGTTCTTTATCTGCTTTTATTTTGATATTCATTGGGCCACTTTGTCAATTGTTGTTATGAATTATGTGCCTGGTTTTGTTGCTGTTTTGTTGCTCTGTCTGAGCTCAGGTGAGGATTCAGACAGACTGAAAAAATTTTCACATTTTACTGCTACCACCTTCCCAGAACCCTGCTAACCCAATCTCCCCATCGCGCCCCCCACTTCCTTTCTTTCTCTCTAATTTAGATAGCTCTATTGAAGTATAGTTTACATATAATAAAAATCACTAATTTCAAGTGTATAATTTGTTAAGTCTTGATAAATGTAAATCGTCATGTAACTACCACTACTGTGTCAAGATGCAGACATTTTCATCACCCCAAAAAGGTCTCTTCTGTCCCCTATCACTGAGACCTTGCCCTACACCATCGTCCCTGGCAGCCACCCATCTGCTTTCTGTCACTTGTTTTAATTTTACTGTAGATTTGTATTAATGAAGTTTCTTGAGTCTGATTTCTTTTACTCAGTACAGTGCTTTTGAGATTTCTTTATGTAGTTCTTTATCTTACTGTGTAGGATTCGATTATATAATGTACCATAGTTTGTTCACAAGTTGATGGACATTTGGGTTGTTTCTAGTTTCTGGCTGCTTTGAATATTTGTTTTATAAGTCTTTTTAAATATATATTTTCATTTTTCTAGAATAAAAGACCTAGGAGTATAATTGTTGGGTTATAAAAGTATATGTTTATAAGAAAGTATGGTTTATTAGAAATGTTTTCTAAAGTGATTATACTGTTTTACATTCTCACCAGCCCTGCATATGAGAATTCCATTTACCTCATATTGTCATCAGTACTTGGCATTTGCTCTTTAATTCTAGCCTAAATTCTAAAATATTTAAATATTCTTTAAATATTTATTCTGTTGCATTTGTGCTGTTTTATTTGTAGTTCCTTTGTGATTATGGATATTGATCATCTTTTCACATGCTGTATTGAATATTTATATCTTTTAATTTATAAATTTGCTTTTCAGGATTTTTGCTTTTTTTTTGTGTGTGGTACTGGGGATTGAACCCAGGGGTGTTCTACCATTACATCACATCCCCAATAAATAAATTATTTATTTTTTTGGTACCAGGGAATTGAACCCAGTGGGGCGCTTAACCGCTGGGCCACATCCCCAGCCATTTTTTGTATTTTATTTAGAGACAGGGTCTTACTAGTTGCTAAGTGCCTTGCCAAGTTGCTGAGGCTGGCTTTGAACTCATAATCCTTCTGCCTCAGCCTCCCAAGTTGATGGAATTCAGGTATGTGCCACTGTGCCTAGTTTATTTTTCATTTTGACACAGGAGCTTGTGCAGTTGCTGGCTTAATCTTGTGATTTCTCCTGCCTCAAGCTTCGTGAGTCACTGGGATTGCAGGCATGTTCCACTGTGCCCAGCTGCCCTTTAAAAGAAAAATTAGGCTTTTTTCTTACGTTACATTTTATTTATTTTAAATATTTATTTTTAATTTTTTAGGTGGACACAGTATCTTTATTTTATTTTTACATGCTGAGAATAGAACCCAGTGCCTCATGCATGCTAGGCAAGCGTGCTACTACTTGAGCCACATCTCCAGCCCCTTATGTTACATTTTAAAGACTTCTTTACATATTGTGAATATATAATATATATGTTGCTATTATTTTCTCCTGGTTACAAAGGGAAAGTTTTTATTTCAGTGAAATCTAGTTATCACTTTTTAATTTTATTTTTTGTGCTTTTCATGTTGTAATAAATTTTTGCTTATTCTGAGGTCATGAAGATTTTCTTTTTTTTTTCCCTAGGAGCTTTATGATTTTACAAGTCTGATCTCTTCATTTTAAATTAATGTTTGTGTGTGGTGAATCCCAGATAGGGGGCAATGTTTATCCTAATGGATAGTTAGTTACTCCAGCATTATTTATTATAAAGACCTTCTTTTTGCCCTAAATGACATTGGCACCTTTGGTATAAATTAAGAAACCATATATATGAATTCTGAACTCTGGATTCTGTTCCTCTGTGTATCCTTATGCCAAAGCTACATTGTCTTGATTATTGTAGCTTTAGTCTTGAAAACTGGTAGATAAGTCTTTCATCTTCACCGTTCTTTCTCAGTATCTTTTTTCTGTTTCTTTGCATAATCATACAAAATGTTAGAATCAGCTTTCCAATTTCTACTTGTGAGTTTGATTGGATTGCAGTGAGTCTATAGAGTAATTTGGGAGAATTGACATCCTGTCAACACTGTCTTCCAGTTTATTACTGTGGTATATCACTCTGTTTATCTAAGTCCTCTTTAATTTCTCTAAGCATTGTTAAGAGTTTTCAGTGAATAGGTCTTTTATTTACTGCATTAAATTTATCCCTTGTGTTTCATGTTTTGGAATGCTGTTGTTAATATTTTAAGTATATTTTCTAATTGTTTTAGAAATTCAATTAATTTTTGAATTTTGGATCCTGTAACCATAACAAAATGAATTATTTATCTGCAAAGGTACTAGGGAGAGGAGAATTAAAGCAAATAGCAGGTAGCTGGAAGGTACCTACTCAATTTGCAAAATCAGAACTGAGGGGTTTCACAACACATGGGACTTTTAGGGCTAAATCCAGGAAAGTCTCAGAAAAACCAGTGTGAGTTGGTCACCCTGTCTGGAGGCCTAATGCTGTCCCTACCTCCTCCTGTTCAGAGTGTCCAGTCTTATGAACTTCCTTTGGCCACATCCAACATAAATTGTTTTTTGCTGTGTTAATGCTGTGCAGAGGAGATTTCCAGGTCTGATGCCAGTTGTAGGCCTGGATTTTATTCACCTGCATGCATGCTAAGCCCTTAGCTTAACACACAAAGCCTTATAATTTGGGAAATGTGAGAGGAAAATCTCTCCCTTTATTCCTAAATCACCTAAAAGAGTAATTGCTGACAGTTTAGTATATTTTCTCTTGAAATGTTTCTTTGAATCTTTAAAAATCTTTGTTATTGAGCCAGGTGCAGTGGCACACGCTTGTAATCCCAGCAGCTAGGGAGGCTGGGCAGGAGGACCATGAGTTCAAAGCTAGCCTCAGCAATTTAGCGAGGCCCTAAGCAATTCAGTGAGACCCTGTCACTAAATAAAATACAAAAAAGGGCTGGGTGGGGATGTGGTTCAGTGGTTAAGCATCCCTGAGTTCAATTCCTAGTACAAAAAAAAAATTTGTTATATATACATTATGCCCTGCCCACCTCTCCTAACACTGTAGGGAGTGTTTTCCTTATCCTCTGGGCCACCTCCTGTCATCACCAAGCAGGGTATTGTCTGGAATGCCAGACTCTTTGGGGCTCTGGCCACAAGGGAGAATTCTGGACTACATTGGTGGCACTCTTGGGAGAAGACTGTAAGCAGGAAGGAACTCTGAACTCCCTGCCTGGGGTGAGGGTAGGGAAGCTCTGAGGGCTTTATTAAGGCAGCTTTCTCTGTGGTGCTGGAGAATGACTGGGACATCCAAGTACTGGGACAGGGTCTCCAGGGAAGATGCAGTTAAGTAGTCAGGGTGTCTGGGTGTAAGTGTGCTAGGGAACAAGGGGTCTTTGGAAATTATGGGTAGGGAGAGCCTGTTTGTAGAGAGGTCAACTGCATTGAGGCCCAAGTGAGATAAGGATCTAGACATGGGAAGAGCACTCCTGGTGGAGAAACCAACTAGCCCAGAGTCCCTAGGAAAGATTTATGTGTTATGTTTGCAAGCAGGAAAAGGCTCAGTGGTAGTGAGAGTTGTGAGGGCAGCAGGTGATGAAGTTAGAGGGGCCACAGGCTGTCAGACCTGAGACCCCTCACCCCTTTTGATCACAGACTGACTTCCTCCCTGCCTGGCTTTCTTGCCTCACCTCCCAGTCAGTGCTGCCCACCCTCACCCCACCAAGTAACTTCTCCTCATTCCCACCATCCCTGCCTTCACATGGTGTTTCTGCCTTCTGGTCGACCTTCTCCACACACTCTGGTAGCTGTGCATGTGCAGGGCAGGGTCCCCTCTCCCATGCCAACATTTCCCCTGGCACATCAGTGATCCTGCTACAAATACCTGTGAAGTGTCTCCTGAATACATACCAGTTTGGCGTAGCCTGTCCACTCTTGGGTTGCTGCGTGTCCCTGAAGGGTCTGTCCCTGGTACCTGGTGTACATTAGGTTTTTTAATAAAATGCATCTTATTATATGACAAAAGATGAGAAGGAGCTCAAGAGACAGCAAAGCTGTTTTATGAATGTTTATTAAAATGCAGTTTAAAGGTAAATAAAGGGGGCTGGGAATGTAGCTCAGTGGTAGAGTGTGTAAGACCTGGTCCCACCCCTTGAGCCACATACAAAAAATTTTCTTAAGTAAATAAAAGAACACCTACACTTAAGACGAAGTTTTTAAATAATGCAATTTGCCAAAAATCATCCATTAGATTTAAAGTAGACTGTAGTTATTTATAGTATGGCACTTTTAAATTGTTTTGTTTTTTGAGATACTGGGGATAGAACTCAAAACCTCCTGTGTGCTAGGCAAGAGCTCTACCATTGAACCATACCCCCAGCTCTGGTATGGTGTTTATTTTTCTTTGTTTTTAGCGTACTCCCTTGTTTATTTTTAAATCCCTGTTTGCATGAGGTCAGGTAGCATGTTTGTCTTTGGTTAGATTAAGTTTCCTTTCTGGATATATTTACTGTGTATGTTTCAGATAATACCTTTTTATATTTCAAATGCAACAAATTACTTCGGTCGTATAATTGATAAACATGTGGATCTTTATGCAATTCTCAATGCTGAAATGAATGAGTATTTTAAAGATTCCAGTAATAAAACAACTATCAAAAAGGTGGAAAATTTTGGATTGTATGGACTAGAAGAAAAAACACTTTTTTACAGGTAAAATATCTATTTTTCCTCTCTAGAGTTGTGAGGCATGAGGTAATATAAATGGTGTTGAACACCTGTGTTCACCATTGGCTGAGTGGGAGTGTACCAGGCCTGGCTTCTTCTAAGGAGGCCCTCCCAATGCACTGTGACCCCAGACACCTGGTACAGTTTTGCACAAGAGACTCCATCCTTGGCTCCTGAGCATAGATCACAATGGCAGTGCAACCCTGGACATTCATGGAGTTGTCACTGTGTGCAGTATACACGTACATCTGCAGCTTGTTTAATTCTTAATAAATTTCTATAAAATTGGCATCATACCCTTCTTGTAGATAAGGAGACTGAGCTGAGAATGTTAAGTGAGTTGACTAAGGGCAGCTCAGTGGGTGGCACAGTCAGTATTCCAGCCTGGCCTGGCTGCCCCTCCTGCTCATTAATGCCCATTTTTCCTGAATCCACCTCAGGGCGGGCTACAGGTGATAGCTTTGGGTCAGAAAGTTTGAAATTTTAATTTTCCATATTAACTTTGTTTATGTTGTCAGATAAAAGGATTTCCTATATTCAAAAGTACTACATGTTTCTATGCTTAGGTATATTTTAAGTAATGTGCCACTAAGGATTCTGAAAGGCCTTCCTTTTTTTGTTTCTAATTTGTAGTAAAACAGTGCAGTCAGTGTAACAGTTTTTTTAGTATGTTTTCCTTTTGATGAGTAAATTGAGGCAAAGATGATTTCCTTGTGGAATCTCTTTGTTAAACCAATGCCACCATTGTTCTCCAGGGTCCAGGTGTTGGAAATGAGCCAAAAAGAAGACACTTGGGTCCTGGATAATATCCTTATAAAGTTCATAGACGAAGGCAGGACTGGACTTACCACAAGAAACCAGCTGTTGCATCTCCCAGAAAATTTCCACACTCTTCCTCCTCAGGCTGTGGAGTTTATTGTATGTAGAGTGAAACCTGCTGATGGTGAAATTGAGTGGAATCCAAAGGTGAGTTATTTTGGCTTTTTATGTTTTGTCAACTTGTGGAATATATTTAACCCATAATATACACAGACTTGAGCCTTTTTTGAATTTAGAGTGTTGAGTGTTTGCTTCATGATCCTAAGCAGTTAGAGTGTGATCTGCTTAAAGTCCCAGCTGGTATAGGACTGTAGTAACTGCCATCATGCATAGAACTAGCCCTGAGCCAGAGTGTTGAGGACCTCTGACATTGTGGCTTCCATTGTTAGTGCTCATCTTAGAACTGATATAACACAGGGTTGTGGTAAGATGAACTGGCTATCAGCTTAAGGAAGAGAAACAGTGCAAGCACCAATGAAAATGAGTCCCAGGCAAAGTGGGGACATAGGTGGTGGCCAGGTCACTGTGTTGGAGGAAGGGGAGATGGAACTTCTGATGTGAAGGACATTTCCTCTGGGCCCTATGGGGGTCACTAGAACATCACCAAGTAGAATGGCAAGGGCACCTAAGGCAGAGAACACTGCCTGAGGCAAGACATGGAGCCCAGAGAGCAGCCCCGAAGGCTCACACAGCTGTCCAAGGTGGGCAGAAAGGCACCACACGTTGTCTGGCTCATCGCAGAGCAGATGCTCCTGATTCTTCAAGAGAAGGTTGAATTTTGTGAAATCTGATTAATGGATTATGAAATAAGCCATTGCAGTTAGCAAAGTGAAAACATTTCGAGTCATAAGCAAGGTTAAACACTGCCTGGGAAATAAGCAAATGAATGTCTCTTGATGAATACACAACCTTACCATTGTGGGTTTAGTGAAAAGAGCCTTTATCAAATGGCAGTCTTTTCCATTTGTTGTTCTAAATATTTACTGTCTATTGTGTGCCAGGTGCTGTGCTGGGTTCTGGGTATATAGCCATCAACAAGAAGAAGACCTTGTCTTCAAGACAAGGTCTGTAAAGATAACTGGCCACAGTTGTTTCTTAAAGGGCAGCCTTATGTAGACATGGGGACAGGTTCTCCTGTATATGTTCTTCCAGGTGCACTCATAGATTCAAGGGGAATGGAAGCAATCTCATGTCACTAACCATTTCCCTCCTGTTCTGCTTCATTGATTTTCATGTGCATGAAAGATTGCCGATAGGCCTTACCTGCTGCAGCCCTCCTTGAGAGGAAAATAGTGACACATTCAGAAAAGAGCACATGAAAGACCAGTGCCCCCAGACCCTGTCTAGCAGAGCAGAGCAGCTCCATTGCCATGACATCCTCTGGAGTAGCAAGAACAATTTTTTTTTTTTGCTTCTATTGGTCTTTCAAACATACCTACTCTGAAGACAGAAGAGAATTGATGCAAGTGATGAGTGCATACATGTCCACAGCAGTAAACAGTTAATATTAGGATTCCAGATACTCCACATGGACTCTTACCCATTCCTGAAACAATTAGCATGAGCCCTTGGGCAAGTTCCTGCACCTCTCTGCATCTCTCCTTGATAAGCTGTTGTTACCTTCACTGAGGAATTGGGGTGATGCCTCCCTAGTCCATAGGGTTGTTGTGAGGCTCAAATGAAACACACAGAATATTTTGCAAATTATGCAGCATACACTGAATAAAGTCTTCTGTTAAAGCTTCAGATAAATAACTGAAGTCCTTTTTTTAGGTTACCAGGTACATTCATCATAAAATTATTGGAAAATTGCATGATGCAAAAGTGGTACTGGCTTTGGGAAACACCGTTTGGATTGATCCGATGGTAAGCATGCAGTTTTATTAGAAATCTCAATTTGAGTAGGCTTCTAAAATAGTCCAAATTTTTCCAATGTGCTGTGTGAATGACCATTTGCACCCTAGCTTATTTGGGGCTCTAAGTTAGGGAGACATCTTTTTCATGTTATTTCAGTCATGAATTTGGTTGTGGGTTTGGTTTTTCGTTTTGTTTTTTTTAAGTGTTTTACAAGGTAACCCAGTAATCCTTCTACGTATGATGTGCATGCACTCTCACTTATAAAACTAAAGTTTCATGAGACTGTTCTTACTTCATGTGACATTCTCTAATATTTACAATTCTGCTCTATTTAACTTCCTTAATGTTGATCATGAATAATTAAGTCAGTCTCACAACCCACCATCCACCCATATGAGAAACCTGGGATCAATGACTGCTGTAGAGGATCCATCTTTGCTAGTCTATAAATGATCCTAAAGACCTAAGATATGCTCAGTAATGCTGATAGTTCTGGTCCTTGGACATTCAAACATAGGTTTTTCTACCTTATTCATTCACCAAATATTTACTGAGCACCTACCATGTGCTAGGACCAGTACTGGGCCCTTGAGTTCCATCTGAACAAAGCAGCTGAGGCCTTCTGCCCTCTGATGCTGATGTAGAGTTGGGCATGAGTGTGACACAAGGACATGCAGTATACAGGTCTCTATGGCTCTCCACTGGTGCTGGCACACCCCTCTCTGAGTTTGCTATATTAGACAAATCTTAATTCCTGTGATTGTTCGTAAAATTTTTAAGGAATTCAATTCAAAATTGTTTTGCTAAAGGTAGTTTTTATAAAGTTAGCAAAGTTCTAATGCCTTAAAAGGGGAGTTTGGCTTATGATTTAAGGAGAAGAGAGAAATAGTTTTAAGAAGAGAAAATGTAAATTACCAATGCAGATAAGCAGATTTTTGGGGGTGGGGGGGTCTTAGTTGATGTTGTTGTAGTATTATAGTTGTTTTCAGGAAACTTTAGCAGGAATTTCTAAAACTGCCACTTATAGAATGAAGCAAAAAAGAAAACCCACTTGGCAAATATGTTCCTATAGCTGCAAAGTGTGCCTCAGTGTCCATTGACACACCGGAAGGAAGCTGACCCCCAATCTTGCCAACTTCTCCACCCAGACCAGATCTGTCTCATTTTGAGTGGAGAAAGGCTTTCATGCACATTGCCAAGTGTGAGACATATGCCCAGGGTTCACTCAGGAAAGTGCCCAGAAGGGCCAGCCTGGCCTACCCCTGCTTCACTGTGATACTCAGTCCTGTGTCCACACCTCCCCTCCACAGGAATCAGACTGTTGCAGATTTTTGTGGTTCAGTTAGTTTTGTATAAATTTAAATGAATGAGAGTATTTTGGTTGCAGAAAAGACAAGTAGAGGAAATAGTCCAGAACACAGAATTTAGGCTCTTGGGATAAGCCCTCTCTGGACATGATAGGACTCTGAGCCTTAGGCTCCTCCTTGCTGATAGAGATAAAAATAGTTGAGTGAGAATCAGAAGAATGTAAGAATTTTGTATCTTGTTATAGCACCACAGATTAGACTGGAATAGGGGTTTTATTCTAGGAATCAGTCCCACACTAGATCATATTTCCACCATGTGGGTTTAGGCTTGGGAAGATTTGATATAACCTCAGTTGTGAAATACACAGATGTTGCAGTGGGAACCACTTGTGTGTTGTGGCATGTTCTGGAGCACATCAGATATGCAGAAAGAGACTGAGAGACCACGTGAGAGTATTCATGATTCAGTTAAAATTCAGAGAGTGACTTCTTCAAATGCATGTTTTTTCTTTGATTCAAGGTACATGTTACAAAACTTTCAAATTTAAAAACTTCTGTCATTGATTATAATGTTCGAGCTGAAATTTTGTCTATGGGAATGGGCATTGACAATTCGGAACACATAGAACAACTGAAAAAATTATACAAAGGAGCTAAAATGCCAACTTTTGAAGCACACATAAGCCAACCTCGGTAAGTACAGTTCTGCTTCCCTTTTGGAAGAGCTGTTTTGTTTTAAGGAAATATTAAGTGTTAAGTTAAATGAGTCTCCACATCCCTGTCACTCAGTTTTAGTAACTATCAAGGATCAGGGAATCTTGTTTTATCCATACCTCAACTCTTTGTTGTTGTTGTTAGTTGTAGATGAACAGAATGCCTTTATTTATTTGTTTCTTTTTATGTGGTGCTGAGGATTGAACCCAGTGCCTCACTCATGTAGGCAAGCATTCTACCATTGAGCTACAGCCCCAGTTCCCCAACTGTAGTTTTTTGTGGAGTATAATCAAGCAGATCTCAAGTGTGTTATTTCACCTGTGTATCTAGTGTACTATTTCACCTTTTTCTCTCCCTCTCTCTATTTTTTGGGGTGTGTGTGGAGAGGACCGGTGTACTGGGGACTGAACTCAGGGGCACTCGACCACTGAGCCACATCCTCAGCCCTATTTTGTGTTTTATTTAGAGATAGGGTCTTACTGAATTGCTTAGTGCCTCGCAGTTGCTGAGGCTGGCTTTGAACTCACAATCCTCCTGCCTCAGCTTCAGGAGCTTCTGGGATTACAGGTGTATGCTTCTGCGCCCAGCTTTACCTGAATCTCTTACAGAATGGACTTGTGTTAACTTTTTGTTGGCAAATAGCACACATACAGAAAAGTGCACGTGTCACAAGAAGAGTTTGATGGATTTTTTTGAGCACGGCTGGGAAACCAGCCTCTGATCAAGAAAACAGAGCATGACTCAGAGCCTCCTCCCCTCTCAAGGAAAGTCATTCTGTCATGGAAAAGCATAGACGGGGTTTCCCTGGTTTTGAACTTGGTTTGAATGGAATCAGCAGTAATTCTTTCTGTTTAGCTTCTTAAACTCAGCATTGCTTGTGCAGTTCATCTAATTGTGTATGCTGCTGTGGATCTGAGCATTCATTGCTACATCATGTCCCTTTGTATGAATGGACCATGATTTGTTTTGCCCATTCTGCTGTTGCCTGAGACCTTCCACTTGGGGGGTACTTCAGGCAGTGGTGTCTCCTGCATGTCTTTTGGTGCACTGAGAGAGAGTTACGATGGAATGGAATTGCTGAGTCATAATTAGAGCCACTGTCCATCAGTTTTCCAAAGTGGCTGCACAGTTTACACACCCATAACCAATACATGAGTGACCATGAAGTCGCTCTGAAAGGGTATACAGGCAACCACAGAGGAAGAAGATGGACACAGCATGTGTGTTCACCAGATGATTTGTACCAAGAACTCCTGATCATAAAGAAAAATGTGGACCTCTATTAGGAAAGGGGACAAAAGACTTGAATAGCCACTTCACAGTGTCCAGTTGCTTTGTGAAAAGGTGCCCAAGCTTATTAGCCAGCCAGGAAGTGCAAATTCAAACCATAGTCAACAGCACCACAGCTCCAGCATGAAGGGAGAGAAAAGAAGTCCCGGTGTCAAGGATGTGGAGGAACGGTAGCCAGGCATGGTGGTGCCCACCTGTAATCCCAGTTATGTGGGGGACTGAGGCAGGGTGAGACCCACCTAGGCAACATAGCCAGACCCATCTATGAGTTTCTATGGAATTGAAATATCAATTGGTTTCTTCCCACTTTTGGAAATGAGAGAAATTTCTTCTACTTACTAGAGATTCTTTTAAAAATGAAGGTGCCTTTACAATTCAGATTTAATAAACATATGAGGTTTGGTCATTTATGGGAAGCCCCAGTTTTGCACAAAGCCCCTGCTGGTTCCCTTTCCATACTGTGATTTTGAAACTGAGCAGAGAGAATTACAACATTGCCGCAGTCACAGGCAGAGTAGAGAGCTACAGAGCACCACGAGGTCTTACAGAAGAAGCCCAACTAGGAGACTCTACGTCAGAGAGTTCTTAGAGAATGCAGGAAATTCTGATGGGTAGAGAGGGAACAGCTGTGGAGAAGTAACCCTTGGAGAAATGATACAGGGATGGGATGAGGTTGGGGCAAGTTGAAGTAACAATGAATGGTGAGGTTGATGGTGAGAAGGCTTACAAGGCTGGGTTCACCGGGGTGTGGAAGACTTCAGGATGATGTTCAGCATTTGTACCTGGGTAGGTAGTCAGTGGATGAGGAAAACTTTTTTAGGATTCTAAAAATACAGCTGACACAGCATGTTGGGATGAGGAAAGACAGTATACAGGAGATGGGGGATGGGGTGGCAATTACCTAGATGAGAAGGCGGCTGGTATCCCCCAACAGGAGGATATATTCTGGGCACTGACAGGTGGAGAAGCCATAAGATAGTGACTGGCAGATATAGAGAACATGATTCTGAAACCCAGTGACTGTGAGGACATTTGCATGGCAGACAGTGTTTTCCAGAGAGCAGCTCTTCGGAAAGGAAGAGATACTAAGTTTGGTTTTAGACATGCTGTTTTAGGTTTATTGAAAGTATAAGCCCAGAGCTCAGGGAAGCAGCAGGGAAAGACTGTTGGTTTACTGGCATTTGAGGAGAATCAAGACTTTGGCGAGTGTGAGGATGAAGAAGCAGACCTGGTGGAGGAGGATCTAGTGCAGGAGGTCAGTGATGGTGGAAGAGGAGGGCGGGAGGAGCAGGACGTGAGGAAGAGGAGGCCAGGGTGGAGAGCCTGCATTGGTGGGAAGAGGAGGCCTGGGGTGGAGCACCTGCATTGGTGGGCATGGTATATTCTCCTTCACTATTTGTTCAGTGCCATGCCCCAGGTTCACACATGTCTCTCAGAGGCCACCTTGGAGACACACGTTGACATCCCCTCCTCACAGACATCTGTGAGTATGTAGCTGTTCTGCATAGGTCTGCTCACTCTGGCTTGAATTATCTCTGAAAGGACGGACAAAAAGTGAATTACATTGTCATGTATGACTGGCTAGGTGGGGAAGAAGGGTGCAAGGGACATTTTTTATTGTGTAGACCTCCATAAATGTGGCTATTTGCTCAGAGAACCAAAAGAATAGTACAATTTTAAAAACTTAAGTGAACAAGGCAGCCCTCAATGTACTGATATGAAATAATCCCTAGCTGGATATTAGATAAAATAAACTGGGGTAGCACAGTGGATTTAGCAGATTCCCACATATTGAAGAATATGACTGTCTCTGTGTTTCAGATAGATATAAATGGCAATATTTGCTTTTTTATGCAAAGAATATTTCTAGAAGTTGATTTAAAATGGTGTAGTCTCTGGGAAAGATGGTCTGAAACACAAGCAGGGATGAAGGAAACTGTTTTTACTTCTGCTCTTCTTTACTGTGTGAAGTGGGGTAGCAGTGTATGTTGCTAGTCTCAAAATTCCAATGAATTTGGAAGGAAAATTGTTGAAGTAAAAGTAAATGAGTGAATGCCTTTCTCTAATGTCTGTCATCCACTGTGTGCTTGATGTAAGGGCATAGTAGTGAGCAGAGCTGGCCAGCCCTGCCCTGTCATCAATAAATAAATCGTAAACTCCTTGTGAGTCTGACTGCAGGGTACCGAGCACTTCATTCATTTATTGCCTGCCATTCTCTTCCTTTGCCCAAGTGTCTCTTGAAGTTCCAGAGTTAACCTCCACCTTTTCTATCCAGGACACCTCCATTAGTAGAAGATGCTGCTTGTCTGCAGGACACACAGCAAGAGGACAGGAATGCAGAAAAAGGAGCTGGCTCTGAGTTGAACTCAGAGAACCTAAAGCCCGGTTGGTACTTTTTATTGAAAAGATGGATGGGACTGGGGATGTGGCTCAAGCGGTAACGCACTCGCCTGGCATG